AGCGTAGTCAGCAGAGTACGACCATATCGGAGTTACTAAAGTAGCTCATTTTATGCTTCGACGGTAGAAACAACGGCAGATACCTTGTAACGGTTGGAGACGCGGTCAAGTTTTTTTGGTCATTCGAAATGACTTTTGCGACTGCATGCCCAATGGGTGGAGCAGGACGCCCATCTCCGAATGAAATCGTGCCACGGACACCGGATAATCTGGCGTCATACCGTCCTCTACTCAACTTGAAAGAACCCCCTTGTCGGTATGCCAAGAATCAAACTTACTTCGATGAACCCGACGGGTCAGCAGTAACAAGCTTATAAAGGAATCAATGTTTCGGACATCAGATATTAAAAAAGCACGCCAAACGCCAATGACCGAATTCCATAGTTCTGTGTGTGTATCACTGTCGTACAGGAAGGAAACTAAGAGAGGTAATTCATGTAACCCAGACTGAATCCGCTGACTCGGTGTAAATTATACCTACCAAACGGAATAGAAGACCTCAAGAAATGAAGACTAGAACGATAACAACTGAGGTCGGATACAAGAACACACTAACTCCTCCCGCCAAATACATCAACTGTTATAACAACCCAATTACCAATGCAAGCAAGTGTTAAACCAGTGACAATGGACGGTGATGACTACAAAAGTTGAACGTCGATCGCAACACACACCTCTCGTCGGTGTGCTCTAACGCGTATATTCAGACAGAAGAGATCCCGGTCAGCAAAAAGCCTAGTAGGAAGTTAGGTGGAAGATGTACACAATAGTTTAGTCCTACCTCCAAAAAGACGGAGGTCCAGTAGGCACTTCTCCTCCCCCCCCTCTAGCCCAACAGTACCGTCCTATATAACGTTCGGTTCGTTAATCCCCAGTTCGGCAGGAAGACTATCTAACAGACACAGAATACACAAGTTACGAGGAAATTGGTAGATGGGACAGGGACAGTTATGCGACGGGCCGTTCGCGCGGGACCTGCGCCGGACGAAACTTACGGAGCTCTCAACAGACACCCACCACGCGTGTAAGTGTGGCCATTTTCTTATTTAAAAAAGGCAAACAAAAGCAGACATATAAGTGAAATCCCTCCCGGACGGGCTTTTTAGACACGACAGAAAAGTAGCGTTAATTTTGTTACTTCTGAGTAGAAAAAGAACACAATCAAGCTTGAAAAATCGAATAGGTAGGTAGGCAGGCGAATTACATGGCCTCAAATTGGTCAACACGCATTTTTGTGTTGCCCTGGCGGATCTGGCGCAGGGTCTTGTATTTGTCATTGCCTTCACGCACGTTGTGCTCATGGCGGTGGTCGATATCGCGCATTCGGGACTGATCACGTGCACTCGACAAGTCCTCCTTTAGGTTCTTGAGCTTTGTCTGCAGATCGGCGTTGCCGGAAACAGTGGTAGTACGCGACTCTTCTGGGCGTCGGCAATTCGGGATCACTTCTAGGTCCCGAGCTAAAATGAGTGGCGAAAACACGAAGGAGGGAGGGAGGGGTGGGGTTAGCGGGGGTGACGATCTCTTTAACAGAATCTGCAGAATCACATATGTACGCCTTGGCCGACAATTGTTTAATCAGTCAACGGTGACAGAACATAGGATACGAAATGATGCCCTAGGTGGCGATTTCGGGGTGCAAATGTTCATACCAGAGCGACCGGTGAATTTACCTAAAGCCCTACGCATGCAACAGTTTCCTACAGTCATGCGTGCTGGGTTAAAGGCCTAGGACAGGCGAGCGAGAAGCACAGCTGCAGAGGATGTGTAGAGGCAAAGTCGAGGTCATTTCGGCATGCAAACAGACAATATAAGCATAATTTACTTGAGTGAAATTCAACGGGGCTCACCCAGGTGAGCGACCTCCAGTGTATACGGCGATAATACATTTACAAAGGGGAGGTTACATCAGTGTATGTGAAGTCAGGGTACAGTCCAGAAAAACTCTGCACACGAAATCTGTTTAGGATGGCGCCAGCATGGATTTCACAAGCACTGTGGAATCAAAAATACGGTGCTCGCTGCTTGACGTCAGCAGATTTTTCGAACGAACAACTGCCTTTGCAATAGCGAATTGATGCAAACTCTGGAGTCACCGTTTTAAGGAAATTTCGCGCACATAGTCCGACTTCTTGACCTCCAAGTGCAAAGATCTTATATTAAAAATACGGATAATATGGCCGCAAAACGTCGAACTGATCCTCACAGCCAATGATCATCCCTTCACAGCTGTGGATATGTCTGAGTACTTAGATAGCTCAATGTTAGAGCGTTGGCTGCGCAAAAGCCTTCCCTGCTATGTGGGTTCGACTCCCACCGAGGCTGAGAATTATTCACAATCAGGTCAACTGAATTAAGCAAACCCGCCAAACCCCCCTAACAATTAAGTGAGCCTAGTAGTCATTCTGGTGGATCCTAGATTATTACTTAGGAAATCCTGCCCGAGTAGTCAGTTTGCTGTTCCGTAATGGGGGATTCTATAGTAGCGGGTGGGTAATATCGATCCAAGTGTGATTAAATTCACAGCACACTCTGAGCCTCTTAGGTCTATGGTAAA